TATCTATCTATCTATCTATCTATCTATCTATCTATCTATCTATCTATCTATCTATCTATCTATCTGGGGGTGGGGGGGGGAAAGGATGATGCTATCTGTGAAATTTTAAGGCACCAGAATAGGAGATTAATAGAGATTAATAGAGAAAAAAGTCCTGGATAGAGGATGATGTAGCTCAGTGTTCTCAGTTCTTAGTTGCCCAATGGAATCACCTAAAAAGTTTTTCAGCTTTTGGAATTACAATTACTCATTTACTATTTATTTTGTGTGTTTGCATGTGTGTGTGCCATGGCAAACAAATAGAGATCAGAGGATAACTTGTGGGAATTGTTTCTCTCTCAGGCCCCAGGACCTGAACTCAAGTCGTCAGGCCTGGCAAGTGTCTTTACCTGTTGACCCATCCTGCCAACTCTGGAGAGACTGTTAAACACTGCACTGCTTAGATGATTCAAGTGAAACTTCTAGGGTTAGGTATAGCTAAAAGTCTACACAGGAACATTAATTTTGTACTGGGAGCTAAGAACTGTGAGCAGAGTACTTGCAGAGAAGAGACTGCCAAAATCTGATGATCAGTGGACGAAGGGGACCCAGCCACAAGCGCCCACCCTGTGTTTTTCGTGCTGTTTACTTAATTAATCCTGCTAAGATGTCATATGAAAACTGTCACACAATCTATTATAATAGAATGTTGAAAGCGAAAGTCTGTGTTAAGGCTACAAGCAAACTACCCAATCAAGAGCAAACCCAGGCATAAGGGGCTGGGAATGAAGGCTGGGGCAATCTCTCAGTGGTGAAGAGCACACACACACACATGGTTCTCACAAAGGACCTGAGTTCAGTTCCCAGTTACCATACCAGGCAGCTCACAACTACTTGTATGGATAGCTCTAGGGGGTCTGATACCCTCTTCTGGCCTCTGTGAACATCTGCACGCTTGTGCCCGTAATTTTTAAAATAAATAAACATTAAACACACACGCACCCTGCTCTTACAACTAGGCCTGGGGATGGGCAACAGAGTTCGCTGTTGGGACAAGCCCGATGTCTAGAATTCTACCCCCATGGCCAACACGGTGGAAGAAGAGAGACTCCCATATCTAGGCACACACACTGAGCAAAAAGAAAGTAATCCATCTTTAAAAGAACAAACAAGCAGAAACAGGCATAGTGACAAAGTCTATAATCCCAATACCTGAGGAGTGTGGGTAGGGAAACTGTGGCTCAAGCTCTGAGCTATACCCTGAGCCTGTCTTCAAACAAAATAGAAGTGAAAAAAATCAAAAGGCTCTCTCCTAAGAATCTAAATTTGCCTATCCCAAGAGTTACCTAGGGTTTTAGGGAAAATAACAGTAACCACTTCTCCAAAACAAACCTGCTTCTTGGTGGTTACGTAAATGGGTCAAGTAATTTACCCAGTAATGTACAACTTTGCCTGGGAAAAGTAATCAAGGTAGTGACAAACAGATGCAACACAGGAAATGGTCTGCTTTCGGCTCCAGCCACACACTCAGCATGCCACACAAGATCTGGAATGAGCATCTGAAGCAGAGCTCTGTGAAACCAGGTTCCCTGAGTCATTTCAAACACAGGTAATCCTCTGTGGTTCGCAAAGCTAGAGAAAAGTGCAGACTTCATGAAAGAAAACAATACTTTTGAAAAGAAATGACTTTGATATTAGATTAAAAAAATAAAAGCATATTTTAAACCTAAAAACTAAACCATGCCTACATTTCCACTCCTGTAAAACAAAGCATGCTCTAGTCTACAGATAAACACAGTAAGCTCTCCTGTCTATGACCCCATTGAATTGAGGCAAGTGTTATCAAGATCATACTTGGCTATATAGTGACTCTGAGGTCATCCTAATCTGTACAAAAGCTTGTCTCCCAAAACCAAAATATGAACAAAAAACTAAGATGCCGGTTAAAACAGAGATTACATTAGCAAAACTACATATAAGATGTATTATAACACATCTAAGTTTTATCTTGGCATGTTAACTAAAATACAAATGAATACAAAGAGCAATCTGAGGCTACTAGAACGCACAGTTTCTCTTCTGAAATCACTGATTTTAAGGCAAGAGAAGATGTAACTGGGCAAGTGAAACTCTTTTAGTTGCTGCCACTGCACCTGTGGGCACCAGAGATGATGGTTCTACAGGGTAGGGGCTCACCAATTATACATTCTGGCCAAACTCCAATGGTTTAAAAGCAAAGTAAAATACAGCAAGACATTTAAACATAACCATAATAAAAAAGGCTTACATGGCCTTTCACAGTCAACTTAAGAAAAAGGCATGTTCATAGAATTTAAAATGATATACAATAACATCATTTTTATTTTTTGGCTTGTTTTGGAACCCTGTCTTGTGCAGCCCAGGCTAGCTCCTTACCTTCTTGTCTCTACCTCTGAAGTGAGCCACCATTCCCAGCACACATCATTATCAGAGAATGTAGCCACAAGCAAAATACACACTTGGTTATGGAACAGACACTGAGAACACCAGTGTAAATTACACTGCGGGCTTTGTACCTTTTCATTAAGGTACAAACAATGGCAGACTAAAGGGAGGGATTATAAGAAATTTCTAGTTTTTATGGGCTTTCCAGTCTAAATGGGGCAATTAGATGTGTATATCCACCAATTATCTTATTTCAAGGCTTCAAGATGTCCAGTGTGAGGAGCAGAGAAAAGGCAAGGCCTTCTTTGGAAGTCCATGAGCCGTGTTCTCCCTGAAGGAGTACTTTGGATGGGGAGACTGCTCTCTAATAGACCACTCCTACTGAGATCAGCTATACCCACCTCTCTGATCCAGCTGTGTGCCATCAACCCCACCTCTTTGTTCATCTTCATCTGTATGCAACAACCCCGCCTCTCGGTTCCACTCATTTATATAATAAATTTGACAAGCTTCAGGGTTGGGCTGCAGTTTCTCCCTCAGAGACCTCAGT